TTGAAACTCATCCATGCCTATTCAATCCTATGCAACTGGAAATAGAAATGAAAGGACAGTTGGGCTCTTGGAGCCTTCTAAGAGGTGTTTGCCAAAAGGTGATCTGGGGAGGTTGGGGGTGGGTATGCTGGGGGAGGGAGGAGTATCCTGAGTATCTGTGCACCTATTATGGGTGCCTGGGTCATGTTTGGGTCAAAACTGTCTTGAGCAGTGACAGAAACTACTTATTAAATGATGCTTATGAACAACCTGATTTACCTTAAACCTCTGCCAGTTCAGGAAAAAAAAAATCTGCTCTTCTCAGGAACTTTCCTGAACTGACATTGATACCTACCTGATAAAGTTTCCTAGGCTAAAAATCATATAGATGACTATGTTGAGATTTGTCTTTTCTTCCTTTATAGTATGAGGAACAGCAACTTTATGATGCCATAGGTCCATTGAACTCCACTGTCCCTGTGTTTTGGTAGCTTTTAATTATAATTACCATTTAGTTATAATTACCATACCATTATAATAGTGCTCACTAATACTCCCTACCAGTTTCTCACTGCCATTACCCCTCAGACCTGAGTTTCCATCCCCCAATTTATACTGTGGGACAGCCCCAGAATATTTTCCCTCCTCCCTTTCCCTGCCCCCTGATAGCAGCACACAAAAACTTTAAGCATCCAAGAGGTAACCAGTGAACACTAGAGGGTAACCAATAAGTGCATTAAAATAAAGAAAAAGGAAATGTAACAAGTGACAGCTGGTGCTAGGAATAAAAACATGGGTAATCAAGCCTCACTTTTAATTTCCCTTATTTGTTCTAGTTCTTAACTTCCTTTTTTTGTGTGTGTTAGGCAATGGGGTTAAGTGACTTACTAGCTGTGTGACCCTTGGCAAGTGTTGTCTGAGGTTGATAATTGAACTCGGGTCCTCCTGAATCCAGGGCCGGTGCTTTATCCACCACACCACCTAGCTGCCCTGCAGTTCTTGACTTTGAAAGGAGAATCTTGTCTGGACTGTATTCTTGCCTATTCCTGAGTGCCAAGCAGAGTAGGTACTATGTAAATGCTTATTCCCTTCCTCTTCTTCTGACAGATTCTCTTTGACAAGACCATTAAGCATTTTTCCTTCTAGAACCTGTTTCCCCAACTGGGATGGAAGGGCACCCCTCTCACCCCACAAATAAGTGTTACTGGGTTTTAGCATATAAGAAGTTTAGATGTCTCCACTTCTGAATTCCCAGTTTAGGGCCTGAAGAAATCCAGCCCTTGCCCCATGATTGAGAAAAACCATGCTCTGTTTGGCTTCCAAATTATACTGCCTGGTCTTCATTATCATGGAGACTGATCATCTGGTCCCTAGAAGCTTCCTTGCTTTGGCTGTACCCAACTAATCATAACTGTCCCCTTTGACCAGAGCATGCAAATACAGCAATCCTATGTTAGAGCTGGAAAAGACATTATAGACCGTCTAGTCCACTCTCCTTCCCTTTTAAAGACTGAGAGATTAAGAGGTAAATGACTTGCCAGTCACACAAACTAATATATGAGTGACCTGGAACTAGATCCAAAGTCTTGATTTCACGTCCGTGATTAAAAGAAAAGCTTACAAAGTTATGAACTTCAAAGGTTGAACGTCAAATAGACAGCCACTGCCTTCCCCCCCCAAAACTTGCAAGGTGTAGCCCTCCTCACACCTTGTACCACCTCAGTGGAAGGGAGGGAGGCATCACAGGGCAGGGAGGTGGTTAGGTTCACAGTTCAGCTCAGTTCCAATGTAGCATAGTCCTCAATTCTAGGTCTCGACCCCCTAGGGACCAAATTCTGGCCCCCTGGCTTTTCAAGGTTTTCCTCCTGAGCTGGCTGTCTGCACCATCCCACCTGCAGTTTTGACTTCAAGTTTGCCATGACTTGAGCACCCAGGTTCAGAGGGAGATCATCTGAAATTGAGCAGGGCAAACCACACAGAACAGAGACCCTAGACCCATTTCTTGGAGCCAGAGTAGGAGAGGGAAGGGGATATTGTGGGGCTCATGTTATGGGTGAACTGTTACCTTTACCTCCTGGAAGCAGCAGAGAAGAATGAGCAGGACAGAAATTATCCCAGTCCGGCTAAATGTAAAGGTACAACCTCTTCTGATTATGAAGCCAATCAAAGGAGGGATCTCCCATCCTTGAGCTAGGGGAATTCTGAGAATCCTGGTACTTCCATGTTAGGTGATCTGGTCAAGCCTCCTTACACATTTCCCCATTTGAAATTAGCTGTCCCTGGCAAATTGGCAAGGCCACATTTTTAATGCAGTCCTCGTCCCAAATTGAGAGCAGTTCTGTCTGGTGCAATGTCCTTTCACTTGCTTCCCCAGTATCATAACAGTAAGTTTCCAAACAGCTGATAATATGGTATCATGCAATCCCACATGTACAGATGAAGATCACAATTATTCCTGTAATGGGGCTTGGAACATGCCCAGATCATCTAACATGGGTTAGATGGGTAGGAGGGGATCTCCTTTCGTTGACCCAAACAGAATGGGCTATGTCTGACCAGACAGGGACAGTCTTGAGATCTTTCTGCCTGGTTTTCCCTATTGCATCCAGAAGTTGAAGACTATACTTCACTTACAACTCATGTGTCACAAGTTGAACCAGAAGGTAGAAGACCTTCTTCCCATGTGCTTGCTTAGCCTGCCTGCAAGAAATGAGTCTGGTTGTTTTGTTACAGTTCTGTTTGCCCTCTGTTGCAGGGGCCAGTGATGATAGCCGCTGGACTGGGAAACCCAGCCGTGGTGACCTTGGAGTCAGGCTTCCAGGTGGGCTGCTGTATCTAGCCAGCCTGGCAGAGAAACCTGGAAAAGCCAGGGTGCCTGGACTGAAACCCAAAACAGATTTTGAACTTGAAACTAGGACTGTGCTCTAATGGAATTGAATAGTGAACCTAATTCCTTTCTCCTGTCCAAAGACTGATGTGTGTGAGGAAGGGAAGAATGATTCCTCTCATGTGGGAAAGTTCATATGTTTGATTATTCCTTTGAAGTAAATGTTTCTTTGTAAAAGCTAAACTGAGAGTGGTTAAGTGCAAATGAGTGTAGGGGAGCCGCCCTCCCCCCAATACACATACACTTGGGGGCATACCTTCACTGAGAGCCTAGGCACACCCAACCTCATTAAGGGTATTGAAGCCTGGAGGAGGTGAAATGTAACATAGTTGACTTTCAGCCATTGAGGGTCAGGGTAGCCAGTGTTATATTACCCAAAATAAAATTTTGCAGAAGATAAATCTCTTACAGAAATTACCAAATATCTCACACCTTGCTTATCTTTAAAGGGCTTTTTTCAACCCAATGAGTAAAAGAAAGAGCAAAGACAGGTAAAGAAAATAGGCTTCTCATTTTAGGCCACACTGAGTTTTCGAATTCCATGGAGTTCTCACAAAAATTTGGGACGTACTTCATCCCACCTGTAGTACTGGCTCCAAGGTTGCCATCATGGCTCAAGTTTGGTGTGGGTTAACCACCAGCACCTGAAACAGAGATGGACAAACACAGAAGAGACCCCAAGCTCCTTTGTTGGAGCTGGGACAAAAGAGGGGAGGGGAAAGGTGTCCCACTTTCATAGGGCCTATGCTGTGGGGGAACTGTGACCTTCATCCCCTGGAAACAGCTAGAAGGAACATGGAGGTGGTGGGAAGCCAAGTCAATAATTCTTTACACTAAACCACATGTCCAGGCCAGCTTACCCACAACAGATTCTCAAAACAGATTAATTGCCGACTCTACCCTTTATGGTGATGTTGCCTGTGCTGCTGGGTGCCTTTTGAGGTGGCCTAAATAAGAAAGATCCTGGGAGTTTTACTTCTTTTCTAGCCAGAGAGGATATTAAAGGACTCTGGGATCTGAACAGTTTTCTACTTCAGCGACAATTTTTAAAAAAATCTTAGGAAAGGGGTGAACTGATGAATTAGAGAAGGGAGCAGCTGAAAGAGGCAACTTTAAGCCCCATAGCACATGGGGCTGCTCATTTTTGGATAGTGAGAAAGTGCTGGAACAATGAAGAATTACATTCATTCTCTCTTTTGTTTTGTTGCCTTCTGATAGTAGCACATTTAAGTGTCTCTCTGCCATTTTACATTTTTGCTGGTTATTTGCTTTTTAAAAAATGTTACTAGACCAGAAAAAAAAAATTGTGTCCCAAGTTGGTGTTTGTAATACTCTGATTAGGGTGGGGGGGAGGAACTTTTGGATAATTGATTATATGAAGTTCAACTGGCTGGATGTTGTCTCCTTAATTTGGCAATCAATCAATCACCTACAGGCTGAGAGCATTTTATAAGTTATTTAGAATCACTAGTTTAAGCTTTACTGTCTGTGCTGAGAAAAGAAGCCACAAGGAACTAATACTTTGCCCTAAACTAAAACCCTCAAGAACTAATCTCATTATCTCCAAAATAGGTCACTTTGCAGCAAGGGCCTTTGGATTTTCTGCATCCTGCTGCTCCTTCCCCTTCAATGGAGGGGGAGTGGTGATAGAGAACAAGGAAATTCATGGCCTGCAATAGGCCCCCAGTGGGAGGGACCACTCTCTCACACTCTGGCATTGTGCCAAGCCCTCTACAATTATTCTCTCATTTGGTCCTCCCTCCAAGGCTGGGAGATAGGTACCATTATCCTCATTTTACAGATGAGGAAATGGAGGCAAATAGGGGTTCAATGATCCACCCAGGGTCACACAGCTATTGAAGCTACTGAAGGTCCAAGGTATATTTGATTTTGCATCTTCCTGACTCTAGGCCCTTCACTCTACCCCTAGCTGCCCCAAGTCTATGATCTCCTATGTAAACATTTAAATAGCCCACAAAGGCTGAATAAATTAATTTTCAATGTAACTTTATTTGCATAATCTGAAATGTTTACAGAGTGCAGTTGTTAACTATAAACTAGCACAAGACTGCTTGTCAGGAATCTGAAAGTATCACAGCCTGATTCCATATCACAATTCAAGATACTTTTTTCTTTAGGAAGTGCCATTACCTGTGAAGGGATATTCGGTGGGGGAAAGGGGTCCTATGATCCATCCAGAAGGAATACTATCCTCTAAGAAACAAAACAACTCTTCTATACTTCCCTGGGCTTGGGTCAGTTTAAACTGGCTCTGGGTCAGATGATGCTTGTCTAGATCTTCAAACCCATTACTTAGGGAAAAGGTGTTATGAAGGTCCTGCATGTCATAACAGGCCTGTTGGAGCTTGTCTTGTAGGCTGCTTGGGAGACCTCGGACTTTAGGCATGAGGTCCATGAAGGCTGACTGTAATTTCAGGGCAATGCTGTGAGACATGCCCAGAGCCCTGATTTCCAGGAGCTGCAAGAAAAAGTTAGGACAGAAAGAGCTTAGTAAGTATGCAGTTGCTGCATAAATTCTAGTTTTCTGGGGGGGGGGGGGGGGGGAGGCCTTATAACATCCTCTGCCTTCTATCACCTCCTCTTTAATTGCTTTTGTGTAGATTTAGAAGCTGTACACTCACTCATACAGATATCCAGTACGCAATTGGAAAAGGTTGACACATTTTAAGAGTCCTGGATTGGGGGTTAAGACTTCGTTTAAACTCTTACTTACTCCCTATTGGACTGTGGGGAAGATGCTTTGTACCTCAATCATCATCTGCAAAATTAGGTGAATTCTAAAGTTTTTAGCAAGTATAAGACCTTCTTTGGACTATATTTCCTGTTGATAGTATCGCCATTCTTCTAGTTGCTCAGTTTCAAAAGTTATCTTTGGATTGGGGGGAGGGGTGGATTACAGCAAAAGGAAAAATAAGTTGTCAAGATCTGTTGACTGAAAGGATCTCTTTATTCTGCTTGCTGTTATCCTGCTTCAGTACTTTGTCAGCTAGACTATTTCAGATAAAAATGTACCCCCTTCCACAATATTACATTCTCCCCTTTACAATAATGCCAGGTCAATTTTTTTCAGAGGGGAGGCAATTGGTCTTGACCAGGATCATACAGCTAGCAAGTGTCTGAGGGCAGATTTGAACTCGGGTCTTGATCCAGGGCAAGTGCTCTATCTACTGTGCCACCTAGCTGCCCCTGTGAGGCATTGTAATGGACTGTTATAGTCCATAGCTAGAATTAGCTTGATGTAATGAGTGCTGGGTCCTTGCTATTGACATCCTACTTCTCCCCCCCTCCTAATACCAGCTACTTATTTGCTGTCTCTCTCTTTTTCCTTTGGGCTGTTTTAGAGGGTCCTGTGGAGGTCAGGCCCTTCTCTCTCTCTTTTTTTTTTGGTGAGGCAATTGAGGTTAAGTGACTTGCCCACTGTCACACAAGGGCCTTCTCTCGAGTCATTTTCTTCCTGCCTCTCTCATATGAGCCACCTGGCCTGGAGAACCTATGCTTCTGCAGGATCAGCAAAGATGATTTATATCTGGGATACCTCTTCATAATCTATAATAAACTTAGCTCTAAGCTTATCTGTTCCATCTCCTTCTGTTCCTTCTGGGGGTCTTTTTTGTAGTTTTGGAGGAAGATCACATAACTTGGGAGTCACAAGACCCAAGTTTCAGTCCTGGCTTCTCTTGGAGCTTGGAAAGTTCAAACTTCCCAAGCCCCTTGTTTCTTCCTTTGCTAGGAAAAAAGGGATGCCTCCAAGACTCCTTTCAGCTCTTACCTATGACCTTTTGATTCTAGGTCTTTTTCCTTATATTCCTTC